TACTACAGAAATTGTTGAAAGAGGTTAATGAACTCATTTACTATTGGCTTTACTCAGCTTTACCACGGAACAGTTTTCACCAAAAATTAAACAGTTTTCACCAGAAATTAACGTTACTCCACCTCTCAACTGCAGGGTTTTGTTGCTGCGATGCCTACCCTCTGGTCAGAGGTTGGTACGTGCCGAACCAAGGGTGGTGCTAGAAAAGCCGGGTGGCACAGCCTGGCTGGGGAGAGCCGTTGGCCCTCAGCACCCCTCAGTGCCCCCCCGCAATGGTCCCACCCAACGGCCCCCCAACGGCCCCCGCCCGTGGCCAGGGGCCCTGCCCCGTCCCACCTGCCAGCTCCCGGATGGAGGTAATGGCCGGGTCAGCGGCCACGGAGGTGGTGAGTGGAGCCAGGGGGCTCTGGCTGATTTTTCAGTGTGGAAAGAAAGCTTGAAAGATCAATCCCTAAACACAGAAATATTAGAGCTGTCATCTGTAGCGGAAAAGTAGGGCTTCTCTGTAGCTGTGGCTTAGCGTAGGTTAACTTTCCACCTTTCCTGCATTTAGAGGGGGCTCCAATATGATCGGGGGGTGAGGTAGAAACAAGTTGATCTTGCCTGTTAAAGCCACTGAACTCTTCAGGATAGTAAGAAAGCAAAACCAACCCTGAAGAGTGTAAGACTTTGTGACACTACTGGCAATAAAATAAATTGCCAGCTGCTGCAAACGCAGATTTGTGAATCCTGCTGACTACGTTAATTTGTTGTGAATGAGTGACTTCACACAGTTCGATTTAGTAGCAGTTTAGAATTTACTTGTGGCAAATCACAGGATTTGATTGTGATATTTTAATAGCACTCAATCATCAGTCAATTAGCAAAGTGATTAGGCAAAATTAATCAAAACAGTGACTTAGTTAAAGATTTGAAGATGGCGAGGTTCACTCTATTACTACGTGGAAGAAGTGCACAAAGGAAAATGAAGTTACACTTGAGTTAGAATGATTCACAGAGAGATTGTGGAAGCAGGGGTTAAGGACAACCCTCCTGTTGAGTCACAAGGTCCAGAATAGACCCCCTGGCTTTCTAAACTCCTTTTCAGAGAGGGGTCTAGGTGCAGCTAGGTCCAATCTTAGTCTCAGACTTGGTCAAATGGTTTATGTGAATAAGGATCATATATATGTATGTATCTAGCAGCAGTATAAGACTCACTTTGTAATTAAATGATACATCTACAGACTACTTAAATTGATTTACACATGCATACACACAGACAAGAATATATTTATATACATATGTATATAAAGGTATACCTGTTAAAAATTCCCCTCGAGTTCAGTGAAATATTCACATCAAATGTCTTGGCATTTCTCAACAGGCGAGGGTTGAGCCTCAAGGAGTGAAGGGTTTCAGCCCAGGCTCCACTGTCTGTCTTCAGTAATGGACCTCTGATTTTAGCAAACTTTCAGAGTTTGCTAGCTCTGAGAGGTATCCCACTCAGAGGGAGATGCTGGTCACAGCCCACTGCAGTCTAGGAGAGCTCAAAGGGCCTCACTTAGGACTGCTGTTTTATAGGATCGTGAGATGATTGGCTTTAGCCATCAGCAAATTTCCATCTGAGCCACAATCCGGGTCAGTAGTTACTGGAATTCCAGTAATGATGGTACGGCAGCACTTGGTTACGATCCAGCTAAGGTATGTTTCAAGGCTGTCAGGGGTTAACTGATTGCTCTTGCTCCCTGCCTCAGCCATTTAAGAACTTCTGATAAGGACAGTGCCGCTGCTCTCCGCTTCAACCATGTGGAGTTTCCGGTACGACTAAAGGGCGCCTAACTGACCACCTCACTACACAAAGGCTGCAGTCTGGCAGTAATTCCTGAGGTCATAAAGCAGTCAAAGATAGAAAAGGGTGGGGGGGATGCACCACCACACCAGGTGGGGGTTACTAAACTTGTATAATTTCTGGTTCAAGGCGTGTCTAGGGGCTGGTTGTTAGCAGCATTGCTGTGTGAATATCCTAATACTTGTGGGCTGTCATTGAGCTTGTGTTGCTGGTCCTTGTTAGAAAAAGCCAAGCAGTTAAGTTTGTGTTTTGTTTCTTGAAAATACATCATAGATCAGCTGTAAGAAGCCATTAAATAGTGTCCAGCTACAATTAGATACAGGTTAAACAAGCATCTTACAACTGCCGAGGGAAAAAGTCCTGCAAGATAACACTGATGTGTCTTGGATATCCCGTCCCTCTTTATTACAGCACCAAACTTGCAGGTTTTCATTTAGACATGCCTAAGTTCTGACATGCGGAGATACTAATATATCTACAGTACAGGTAGAGACTCTAACAAATCATATGTTTGTCCAGCAGATATACATTTTATTAGTTTCTCAACATTTTTTGCTGGCAATTGAAAAGATCAAGTATTTCGATTAACCATCAGCTGGGTTTCCAGTCTTCATATTATTTGATCAGCTGATTCCTTAATAAATTATTGGTTAATTTTTATACTTTGACTAATAAATTTCAATCCTTGTGCCAAAACAAAAGGCAGTTTTAGATTTTGTTTCTGTTCAAGAAAAATGAATGGCATCTTCAGTCTTCTTCAGTTTTCCTTCCTTTTTAGTTCTGCCATCTTGCTATGCTCTAAAAACTAAAGGAAATGAGTGGGTCATAGTCATCCCCTCCAATTTCCCCAATGATGTTACACCTCAGGCTTTACAGGAGAAGCTTGGGGTTGTAGCTGGAAGGGGGTCTACCCGGACCTGTAACAGTAGATTCTTAGAAGAGGTGGGAGATATTGCTGTTAGAGGTATTAATTACTTCTGCATGGCTATTGCTAGTATAGCTACTTCTGTATGAAAAAGTGTTTTGCCTGTATAGCATTATTAGTATATATGCCACCTCGAGGCATGAATGCAGTCTTTTTGGACCCAGATGTTATGGGTAAAGAGTTTGTTACTACTCAGTTGGAACTTACCATTTCCACAGCTGAGATAAATTTGCCTGTGAACTGCCCTGATCAGTTCTGGTGCACAGCTGGTTGTTGCATTGATTTGAACCATCTGTTCTGCACTAAATAGATTGAGGAACTTGCAAGTGTTGCCTGAAAGTGACAACTAATAGGTTGTGGGAATATTAGCTACTGCTCGAGTGGTGAGAAACGGTAAGAAAACATCAGCACTTCATATTCTTGGGGTGTGTAGGGATGTCCTGGATCTGGTAGGAGTGGTTTAAAGGGATTACTGTCACCATTTGCTTATAGCTGCCTCAACAACTAGTTCTCACAGCACTTCCCTGCTGAAACTTTTTTAGACTGTTAGAAACTTGTTTATAAAGTAATACTACAATAAGGGGGAAATTGCCGCTTCTCACCACAGGATGCTTTTATGTTGTCAAAAACGTAATGTTACCAGGTGTTCAGAAATAGACTAAACTTCCACATTAATATTAGATTAGGATTCAGCAAACCTGTTCAGCACATGATGAATTTTAAGGTGTGTTCATGCTTTACCATCTCACACTTCATCTTTAATCTAATGAGCACAGTGACCTGCTGCCACTGTGGCTACAACTTGATCTAAAGAAGGTTGCGTGGTTTCAGAAGAGATCTCAGCCACTGGGGTAAGGCAAGTCCTCCTGCCTTCCATTTCCTAATTTTAAGATCAACTGAGTGACCTGAGCCCTGATGCCCAGGGCTAATTGTGGATCCCAGAGAAACAGAAGAAAACTGATCTCAAGGGATCAGCTAAGCTTACAGCTTCATAAAACTATGTTCTGCTATTGAGTTGCCTTAACTCCCAGTGGAATGAGCAAGACTGCTGCATTGGCTTGTTACACGGAGTTTCAAAACCCCAGACAAAAGACACTGTAGCCAATGATTAAGCCTCTTGCTATTCAAAGGTAAAGCAAGGCAAGATCTTTACCTCTTTCTATTTTATCTATGTCGTACACTTTCTCTTGTGTAGCACACAACAGCAACTAATGCTTCAAGCAGCTTTTATTTTTGTATGAACTCTGTTTGTATCACTGCAAATACAACATGGAACATAATTTCAATGGTGTTTCTTGAACTTAAGTATTTGGCCTAAATAGTTCATAAGATTTACAATGGAATGCAAATATAACATCTTTTTCTACCTGTAGGCTATTGGGACATCAGTCACTTTTTTGGTGGGAAATGAGAGTGTTTAATTCTGTAAGATAAGGGTTGTAAGCTAACAACATATGAAATAAAGATGATGAAGGAACTGCGTGTCCTGTCAGACTACTTTCTCCTGTTACGTATCTGTCTCTGGTCCACCATGAAGACCAAATCAGTGGAAGGAGGAAACTGTTTTTCCTTGACCCTTTTAAGCAAATGCCAGCACAGAGCAGATTTACAAGTGGTGAATACAGCACAAGCTGGTTTTATACAGTGAGCTAACATATGTTGAGCCAGATCCTACCCCTAGTTTTGCAGATGTTTATCTGCAGTAATCTGTCTTGACCTAAATTTGATTTTATACATACCTATTTGCAGTTCATAATTAACTGCTGCAAATCAGCTTCTGGAGATAGAGACACCAGTTAGAGTTTATAATACTTAATAGGTTTACCACGTTACTTCTTATTATGTCTGGGCTTTGATGATGCTGTGATAGTGTGATGAAGCATGCGAGGGAATGGAGAAGGGGGACCTGACTGGGAAACTAAGCTAATATGATATCTGAGTGAGACTTGCAAGTCAGGAATGAGGACCTCTGCTCTGTCCTGGTTTTGAGTGCTTTTTCTACTTTGTATTAATATCTTCCTGGTTAGAAAATACAATGGTCTTTTTGAACAGGATTTTTTAGGTTACTATTTTTGGCTGGATTCAGGATTTTAAAAAATCCTCAAAATACTTTTTCAGACCTTTTAAACTTTCCATATATACTGTATATAGTATATGACTTAAAAAAATCAGAGATTCTTTTTTTTGTCTTGTAGAGGTCCTTGTAAAAATGTACGTTCTTCTTTTATCTAAATTATGATTAATGCAGTAAAAGTGTTTGCCTTTATAGTTCTACATTATTCCTTTTTCAAAGCAAATAAATGTTTTAAATTGCCACTTGGTGTACAATTAACTGTTTTTAATTTGTCAACTGTGTGAACTTTCAGTTCCAACACTGCAGAAGCAAATATCCAAACACCACCTTTCTAATAATATTTCTAATAATTATTTCTAATAATATATGCAGATCTTCTCAAGTATAAAGTTCACACTGAGGGCATAGTGGGGAGACAGTCATTACAGCAAATTTAATTCAATAGGTGTTTTCTTACTGTTAGGATGAAGAATACCTACCCCAAATGGTTGAGCAAAACAAAATGCTGAAAGAAAAATTAGTATCTCGTCTCCGGTTTGAACCAGAGAGGACAGAAGTACTGTGTATGGTAAAAGGCAGGTGTATTGTGTGTGAACCAGCTGACAGCAGTGAAAAAGACAACAGTGAACTGGTGAGAATGTGCATGTTTTTAAACTAGACTAAGCGTTGATATTTTAATTGCAGTTATTATCCTCCCAGCCATAGTCCCATTGTACTAAATGTCTGACTTAGAGTTTATTACAATGATATGGTCTTAAACTAGGGGTACATATAAAAGCATGTACATTCCTGAATCCTTCCTAAATGTGGGTGCCCAAAAGCCCAAAATTAGATCTTTAAAAATTCTGGTCAGTTGCTGCTAATCCTGGAGTCAGGGTTAGCTTTGCACTCATAAATTAAAGCCAGCACCATTACACGTGCGATTCTAGACCAAACTTTGGGCCTAGGCAGCTGTGACTCTTGAAAGCATAGTGTTGCTCAGCTGTTAGAGGTGTCTTAATAGTGGTCCAAAACCTAAATATAAACAGACTTCTAGTATAATATAGGGGCTTGTAGACACTCTCTGGGAGTTTGCAATGTGTTAATACTGAATTAATTTTTGCGCAACTGATTTTGTTTGCCAATGCAGCTTTGGGGATATTGGGATGTTTTTTAGGATTGAAAAAAGTGATGTTAATGAGTAGACAGACATCATTTGTATGGATAACCTTGATATACATAGGATAAGCCTATATTTGCAGTATTTTTGCATACAGCTTCTTTTTTTCTTTTTTAAATCTGGCTTCTGTCTGGGAAAATGTTATAAGAATATATGTTGATTACATGTTTAATGCTGTGCAGTCATGGGAGTGAGTCTTTCTCCTGGCAACCTTGCAAGGAAGGCTTCAGAGGCTGCCATTTCCCTTGAGGCATTTTCCTGGAGGAAGTTATTTGATACTGAGTAAAAATTAAAATATGGGAACTTGGAAGAAAAGTCTTTTTGCTTAAAACCCCACTACAGTCCTGCCATTGTGGTGGAATCTTCTTGATTTGTTCCTAACCACTACCTTCTATCTCTCCAAAGCAGAGTAAAATGCAGAGCCTCACATTACTTAATTGCTCTTGCCAAACATGCTACAGTATGCATTAGCCTTCATCATGTAAAACATCATCTCATAGCAGTAAACTGTAGCTCTCAAAATTAAATAGAGGCATATATTCTATTTTGCATTATCTTAGCTTTTTCTCTTCCAGTGTAAACTCTTTATTCTTGTCATTCATATAAGGTACCAAAATTCTATTTTATTATGCTAATTTGAATAACCGAAATCAGACCTCTATTTTATATATGTGAATCCCTTACTCTCTCTAAAAATCCATGTAAATTAATCCAATTTACATGATTAATGGAAGTATTTTAATTTAGTTAGTGTTTGGCTTAAGTGTCCTGAAAAACAATTATTTGTTGTTCTAAATTTAGAATTACTTTTTTGAAGGTTTGTAACTATTTCAGGCTTAGGTTGATGGAAACAGGAGAAAGCAATTTTGTACTCCATATGATAATACTAAACATTAATTTTAGTGCTTTGAGCACTGTTATTTTTAAACCATTTATCAAGATTCTTTCAATAAGTGTATTTTCATACACATAAAATGCTGTGTATCTTAACTCAGAAAAATTCTGTATTGAAAGCTGACTTAAGCCATCAGGTGGTTTGATAATGTTTTCCATAGCTGTTAAATAAATGCCACCTTTGATTTTTTTTTTAGGTTGTAATATATGACTACTCACTCAATAGTCATTGAAATTAATGTATTTCTCTGCCTTTGTTCACAGTCATCCTCAGTAGAGAAGAAATACCCTATTCTTCGCACAGCAGTTTACAGAGCAAGCACAGAAAGGAACCAAAATGCAGCAATAAAAGAGGAAGGCGTGTGTTTTGGAAATGTGTATGTGTAATGATATTTCTTTATGATAACATTTTGCTCCCTGCTACTTAAAATTTGAAACAGCAGTGGGTATCTTCTACTGAATTTGACTGCTTCCCTGCGAATTCTGTGAAGCCTGGATTGACGCTCCAGCATAAACTTCATAATTTTCACCCATTGCAATAGAGTCTGATCTCATTTATGTCACTGAAAATCTGGAAAAGTGTTAGGGAAGTCATTGCAGATGGAATACAGTCTAGTTAGTGGAGAATTATGTACTATATTAACCTGTGCAAATGTATTCCTATGTAGTGTGTTGCTTTCATCTGTATAAAAGAAGACAAGTATTAGTATTTTTCGAATTTAATGGTGGAGTACGATGACTGAGTTGATTTAATTGTTTAATGTTTATTGTCTTGAAGTGAAACCAAAGGAGTGTTCATATTGCTCTCAAATACTGTATCAAAAAACTTTGAAGCAGGATGATAAGGTGAGGGGATGATGTATATTTGCCAAGAATTGAAGGTTCAGAAAAATTGCTGTAGTGGGATCAGTGAAGTCCACAGTTCTACCTCTAATGTTAGGAGGAGTAGAGGCTATTTAGGGAGACCATGCAAGCTCACCTGACTGCCTTCTGCAGTCCATTTCCCTTGTACTCCCCTAGCATCCATAATTATTGGATTATGAATGTTTGGGGCTGCAGCTCTGCCATATATCTGTTCATGAACCTGTTGACCATGAACTTGTTTTCTCCCTTTTTGAACCTTCTCATACTGTCATCCTCCATAGATACCTGTGGCAGGAAGCTCTAGAAGTTCATAATCCCCAGTCTTCTGGCACAGTTCATCTTTTGGTTTCCTTTCCCTTTCATACAGGTGATGAGGAAGGAAAATATTTTTCTGAGGCTGAAGAGAAAAGAATGCTTTCTTGCAGGCAAACCCCATTCCTGAAATTTGTGGATTGGATTAAAACCACACTTGGGGTATTTTATCCTGAATTCCTTTTTTTTAAAAAAATGAAGTTTGCCTATCAGTTTCTTCTCAATGGATTTTGAACTAATTGATCTCTTGCATTTAAACATATATGAAATATGTAGACATCTGGAGGATGTGAACTTCTTCTCAGTTTGTGAAAAATGAAGTTTTGTGTATTGGAACCTCAATTTTCATCAGTCCTGAGCCAGGCAGAATGGTCTCCAACCCAGATATTGGGAAGTGTCTGACCAGTAAGGATCTGCATTCTGGCTTGTATCACCAGCCACAATGCATGCTGCTAATTGTCTAGTTTAATTAGTAGGTGATGTAAGACACAAAAGCTCAGAGGAGGAATCCAAGCATGGAAATCAAAGATGGAAGTATTTCTGGGAGTGATTAGGGAGTATTAAAGCACAGATTAGGAAACTGCCAGTCTTCATTAGTTTCAGTGCTCGCAGTACAACTTATTTTGTATTTGTGTATTTTGCCCAGATGAAACTTTTGGCTTTGTACATTTGTCTTCAGAAAAGCACGTAAGTGCTGCTACTAGTATATCAGGGGCTGCTAATACAGATTTCTGTCTCATCTTTCACATACTGGATTTGACTTTTCCAGCACTTTATCATTCTTCAGTCAACAGAGGAATCTTGTTCAGGGTTGCCATTTGCTACCTGAGATTTCACTTTTTTTGCTCTCACACTTCTCTTTTCAGAACGCAAAACTCCTCTTAGCACAGAAATGTCTGCACTGGCTGTACCATCCAGTTCAGTACAGTCTAGTCCTCCACTCCCTTTTTAGATTTTTTCTGACACGTTTCTTTAAGAAATCTTCTCTGCTCTAACTGTGAGACTGCGAAGAAAGGGTTCTATAACAGTTAGCTCCTAGCCCCAAAAATAAAGGATGTTCCTATATCTTTCAGGTAAAGAAGATCAAGTCTTTGATCTTGAGTTCATAGACTCAGGTACAAGATAATTACTAACCACCAGAATCCTTCTTTGCAGCCAGGGAACTGATTTGCACCTCTTATCTTTTGGAATAAATTTTCATATTTGATTACATGTTATCACACGGAAAATGTAATTCATAGTGCATGAGGGCCATTACTGAGGAATATTCTACTGATCTGCCAGCCTAGGGAAGATGACAGCAGACCAGTGGAGTGCAGCACTGTGTCCTAGCTAGAGAAGAGATTAGTTTAAAAAAAGAAAAAAAAGTGTTTCTTCCTAACAGTTAGCAGAGGACAGCTGCATAATCTTGAGCCAGGGAAGGGTAAACATGCAAAAATCAAATTTTATTCTAGTACAAAGAATGCAATTTATAGGACCATGTCAGAATTTGGCCAATTTACACTTCCTCCAAGAATTCCAGATCTGAGTGGACATTGGTGTCTCTCAACATGACAGTTTCATGAGGGAGATGAGGATTTACTTGTCTGTTCTGGGCCATGTTGTCTTCTGCATCTGTGTACTGCTGTGTGACAGATGTGTCTCAGATATGTGTGAGGGAGCAACGGTGGTCTCTGCCAGATAATCAGTAAATTTATTGATATCTAGGTAATATTTTTATATGGTTATCTAGATAATAGATAGTCACTGCTCTATTATCAGGTCCTCTCTCACTTTCTCCCATCTTTCTGGAAAGTGGCTGCTGTTCCCATTCTTTCTGATTAGGCCCTGAACTAACGCATGGAACGTTCATGGACAGCTTCAAGGTTCAAGATCTCTAGAAGAGCCACACTGAGAATGCTAAGGTAGATGTTACATTTAGCTAAGACTGCTGGTATATCAGGCAAAGCTGCTCTTTTTGTCAAAGACCTGAAATCGGTCTTCAAAAGAACAGGCTGCTGCTGAAGTGCTACCCGCAGCTAAGTGTGCATGTACCACGAGAAAGAAGTTATTGAGAACAAGTACCAGGAGAAGAAAGAAGTTATGGAATAGAGTAACTTCCTTGAGATGTATTTTTGGTATGAACAATGCTCACCATGCCCTTCCTTTTAGTAGTTCGTATTATGGAACTCTGTCCTGGAAGAGAAACTTCAGGACTTGTGCATTGATCTTTCATGCTCTTGTGGGAAATGTGTATATAGTGTGGGCCTGCTGCTGAAGCAAAAGTTCTGGCACATGAGTTTTAGGCAACTTCAGCTGCCCTAAGTGATTCTTCTTTAATACCATTGCCACCTCAATATAATCTAGATTATGAATTAGCCTTCTCAGTCTGAATTATATAGTCTGAATTTTTTACAGCACATCCACAACAGAGTTAGACCAACAGTTAGTTGAAGCATAATTATCTTAATTCATTTTCCCACCACTGTTCCTGTGGTTTATTTTTGGTTGTTACTGAAGATGTAGGTGGTTAAATGAGAGTAAGCTGTGCATGAAATCATTACTTCCTTCATGGTTTTTATTTATTTTTTGTTTTGTCCTGACAAGTGAACTTAGTTGGGACTTCACAGATTAAAAATGTATGTAAACTGCATATGCTGTAGTGAATGCAGGGGCTAAATCACCCACAAGATGTGTAAGAAGCTGGTGTAGCTGACTCTCCTGTGTCCTTTTTTTCGCATTTTAACTACTGATGTTTTCGTACAGGCAAGCTAATGTAGTGCATATACTTTTCAGAGCTCTCTAGCTTAGCCTTGAATTACTTTTTCATGCATATTGAACTTATTTAAGAGATTTTCAGATGGGTTAACAAATCTAAGAATAATCTTGAAAAAAACCCAATATAATACAAATCCTGTATTAGAAGATTGTTATTTTTGTGCTGCTTCTAGGAAAGAATTTAATTTACCAAATACAACCTATTACCTTCTTTCTGCTTTCATAGTAGATACCATGCTGTTGGAATTACTAAGAACGAGAGCAAATTATAGCATTGATTTTTTTGAAGTATTATTTTCTTAGTTGTGTTTTCCAGAGCTTAAACTTAGTTTAATCTTGAAGCTTTCTTACCTTTGAGACTAATGAAAATAACGATCAGGTTTTATGTAATACTGTTTCTGATGCCTATAGTGTCAGAGCACAAGAGGTAGGGCTGTAATTTTATTTTGATTCCTTTCCCCACTCTCACTGTATATTTTATTCATCATGAATAAAGCTCTAATTCTGTGCCATAGGACAGCTGTATCTTAATCATAAATGCAAACCATTATACAAGTTGTATTTTAGTTGATTGTTCTATTTTGCCTGTATGACTGAATCTTCAGGTTTTTTCCTAAAAGAGTATATTGTTCAATTTTAGACTCTCAAGAGTACATAAGGAGGGAAGAAAAGAATCTGTTTGCCAACCCACTAGCATGTCAGAGCATGAGACAATGATGTTAAAAAGGAGCATAACAAAACCAGTGTCCTTAACGTCAAAGAATGAGAATTTGAAAAAGACACTTCCTACAGCTTCTTCTGGCAAAGGAGTTCAGCATGGTCTTGGCACACCACCTTCATTTGCTGTACATGGTAAAGTATCTAAAATGACAGAAAGTGGGGTAATAAAAGATATTACTTTCTTTCCTCATCATTGTAACCATTCTTTTCAAAACAGTTGTAAATACATGGTGTCCTCTAGTGCATTTCTAACAAAGAGTACTGTAAGTCACAAGCATCCCAGTTTTTACTTCAGGCGTGGTCTGATACTTCATCTTCTTTTTTTTCTGCCGAAAATAGCAGACTTAATGGGCTTCTAATATTTGGTGAGATATAATATTGCAGTGGGCAGCTGTAGCACAAACATACACTCTGTCTTTCTCGCTGAAGCCTTTAGAAGGGAATGCTCTTCTTTCTCTGGGCATTACAGGGGATGCGGATGACACTTTCTTTGTGGGTGGTGAATACATAAAAAGACTCCTGCAAAACTTCTTGTCTTTTAAAAAAAAAAAAATAGAATAGTGGAGGTGTAGCGCTGACTTTAATTCAGTATACCAACTGTAAAGTGCATAAGAGTATGTGTTTATTGTGGTTTTGTAAAGTTACAGTTATCCATACTTGCTTTCTGTGCAGATTTACCTATTCAAAGTTTCTTTAAGTGAGAAGGCTGTGTAATGGGTCTTGAATATGCCCTTTTTTCACATTTTGGGAAGTAGATGCTGCAGAAATGTGAACTTGTAGGAAGGCTAACAAATTAGAAAATGATTGTGCATAGTGATCTGCTTTAAATGACTAACATTTTCCTTTTTAATGGGTCAGTTGCAGATAATATTAGAAGGACTGAAATGCAAACAGCTGTTTTGGAACCGAGTTGCCATAAAAAGATTTGTGAGCAACCAAAAGTTGAAAGACCTTCTAAAAAGCCTTTGAGAGCAAAAGTTTATTCTTACGATAGAACAGGTATGTAAGTCGTAGCATCGGGGGAGAAGACTGCTCTTAGTTATGACTGTACAGCCTGTATATTTACGTCAGATTTACATTGATATATAATGGAGAATATACTCAACTGCTACTGTCTTTCCTCATCCCTCTCCTGCTTTTAGAGTAAGAGTACGTGTGTAGGGGAGAGCTGATACAGTTGTAAATGAGAGAGTCCTGTCATTTTAAACCTTATTTCAAGGGCTAACAACTTTATCCTCCATATTTACCTTCTGATGGTTTATTTTTTATACTTAATCTCAGAGCAGAATTTATTTTCAGACAGCATTTGAATTCTAATTTTAATGTTTTTTTATATTTTATAGTTAGCCACAGTAAGTTTTCTTTTAATTAGAAGATTAGTAAAGAGTAGTCATGTTTCCCTACTTATATTCCAGGATTAGTGTTGGGAAAAATGGATTTTGATCATTATTTCTCCATTAAAAATATCTGTCACTGAGTCTGAAAACTGTGAGGGAGTGATATTACAACTGGATTCTAATTTTTTTTCCCTTTTTTGCAAACTTTTTTCCTATGTACATTTTAATGGGGAATAAAAACCATGGCCAAAAAAAAAATATTTTTAGTGCTTTCCAGGACTTCTCAAATTGTTTTTCATAATGTTATAAAATCTTTTGTTCAACTGGAATGTTCTTCTCCTATACAGGACTAGATCAGTCTGATTTCTAAAGAGGTAGTATGTTTCCATGTAAAAAATTATTTCTTTTAAATATTATAAAGTATTACTGTTATACTTTTGTTTCCAACATTCTTTTCGTTTAGCTGAGATTCTGCTCTGCCTTCAGAAGCCTTTTCTCATTGTTTCAGTCTTTTTAGCATTTGAGAAAGTCTTTGGCCTGTAAATCATATTTTTTCTACTGAGTACTTTGAATTTTGCTGTGTAAATTACACAGTGTAAAATCACTGGAAATTGAAATTACTTTGAAGTAAATTGAACCACTGTTCTTCAATTGCAGGAAAATACATTTGGAATATCTGATGGCTTTTTATTTTTTTATTTTGAGAAGGGCTTTCTAACACGTGTTTTCAGTGTCTTCCAACTCAGCCTGAATAACAGTAGACCAATCCTCCACACTTGTTAAGGCTTATGTAGTGAAACTAAAGAATGAATGGCTGGCTGGCTTATGCAATGAATCTGAAGATTTTATGTTTGAGAGGGGCAAAAAAAAAGTCTTTTTCTTTTTTTTTCTTTTCTTAATGTACCAGAACCAATTGATGATGATGTTATAAAGCATATTTTGAGGCTTCGAGGCAAACTTGGCTGGCAAACAAAGTTACCATCATGTGAACGGTTAGCTAGAGAAGCTGATGTGGCCAGACTTCAGAAGTTTACACTTACGGTCATTTTTACTTTCTCTTCTCCACATTCTGTGCAATTACACATTCTAGTGTTGGTTATAAATCCAAAAATAGTTATTTCCTGAAAGCTTTTGCCTCTGAAAAAGGGTAGGTCTGTTCTTAGAATAAATAAAAAAAAAATGTTTAAATAGAATAAACTATTAGAATTCTAGTTAGCAGGATTGAATTCTAATTCTTAAAAATAGGAAGTGGAAGCCAAATTACACTTTGCAATGGTCAGAGCCGTAGCAGAGTTCTGGGAAGAAATGGTCAGAATAGTGGTACCTAGAATTATTTATTCCATCTCTGGGTCATAGCAATCACTTAAACTTAGTACTTAGCCAGTGGTCCCCATAGTTGAGCTATTCTAGCACTAAGTCAAATTGTGATCATGTCTGTCCTGATCAGATATGCCAAGTACGGGGCCAGTATTTGCTGTGAGTGGTACTGGGCAGTCTGCTTTTGATGTAGCCAAAGGGGACGCCACCTGTGTTCTCTAGCTAGTTTGGTGCGTTCAAAGACAGACAGACACATATCTGGTTTAATTATAATTTCGCATACATGCTTTTTCATGAACAAAAAAATAGGTAATACAGCAAAAAAAATCAGGTTTCTTTCAATGTGCACAATGTTGTGAAATATTTTGGATGCACAAAAAAAATAAAATGTGTGTTATATTTTGTCCCTTGGGACTTCTGATATGGCTGCAAAATGTTTAAGAAGCATTACAGTTGTCCACAAAACTAAAAATTCTTCCCGCTATAATAATGCACTTTCAAAACAACTAGATACCACTGATATCTACAGTCTTTAACTGTTAAGTGTTTGCTACTTAAGAGCTTTATGGTGGTTTTTTTTAAGCTTAACAATGCTTACCACTTTTTATAGGTGGAGAAACTTAATTACTAAAAGGTCTCTTCAAGTCTGAATAAAAAAGCTGGAATGCTAACAGGGTTATATGAGACTTTTCTCAATAAGAAATAGTAATATTGAAGTAGCTGCTGGTGGAACTGAAAAATAATTATTTAGAGTGGAAATAATAGAATAGAAAAATGTGATGAGAATAGAATAACTTTCTAGTCAATTCAGTATTACTAAGCTTGTTATAAGAATGGATACTTCATTTATCTTCTCATAGATATATATAGTAATCATGAAAAATGAATTACATGTCTACATATAAATATTTTCATCTTTTGACAGAAACCTTTACTGCTAGAAGATAGTGGGGAATACATATATTGTCTTCAACGAAACAGGAACAACTTTAAAGCTCCCTACAACCCATACGATTTACAGGCTGTCTCTACGAATACAGCTATGCAAAACAAAGAATATTGGACTGTTACAGCTTCATTTGTGTCTAAGGTAATATATTGTACAGCACACGGAACAACACGAACCCAGAGATTTCCACAGAAGGAACATTTTGCTTTTCATTTATTATCATATTGTGTTCCCATTGCAATTATGTTACCTTCTTTGCTTAAGAGCTTACTGGTCCCTCCTAAAGTCAAGTCCTCCGTTGGCTTTGAGCTGAACATAGCCCATCATTTTGCTCAGGCAGGTGTTTAGATCTCGAACTATGACCTAAAGACTAGGTCACACCTAGTGACTACACCTAAAGACTAGGTGTATCAGAAGATGGGTAACTTAAAACTTAGCTCCCAGTAATCCACTAACTGTCTGCATTTCTGGGCATAGTAATGCACGACAGGGAATACACTCACATCTGCATGTTCTGATCTCAGACAAGGGCATACCCTCTGCTGATAGTTGCTCACAGAAATTGGTAATGTTCATGACTTATCTTTGCTTCTTCTGTTCTTTTACTCTTTGCCTTGTAAATAGGTAAGCCCTTAGTGACTTATTGATTAGTTTTTGTTTAGTCTTGACAGCATTATCTTTTTTAAAAAATAAAAGACCAAAGTTTATTCTCTATCTCAGAATGAGATCTCACGACTGATTTAAGCCTATGTAAGGCTGCTGAGAGACTGGCTCTAAGCCACCCTCTCCATGGTGTTGGCACTGGTGATTTCATGGCCACTATGTTGGATCATCTCACTAATTTAGCTGAAAATGAATGCAAATACTTTATATGTATATTTATCTGCTTGCCACATTAATTTTCAGTCAGATTAGAGAGCTAATCCATCTCACCAGGAGCATAGAGTACTGATATGCCTAAAAGAAACACTAAAAATAATACATTTTAAGAATATAAGCACCACATTGCATGATGTTTCATCAGTTCTTAAATGTCTTTGAAGACAACTCAACTTTGAAGCCCTTTTTCTCTTTAGCATCGGTGAAGTTGAAAACTAGTATGACACTAACTTTGCATGGAAGAAGTGATAATTGCATAATTTACATAATTGGATTGTTGCTGGATGCTAAAGTTAAACTTTTTGTTGTATGTATGAGATACATGATTTGAATGTCAGCAAATTACAGATATGGCTTAGGAACTGCTGCAATTACTGTTGTTAAAATGGGGAAGACGTATTTGCTACCAGTGGGGGTACTAAGCTTTTATAAAACCATATTGGAAGAAAAGAATAAAGGTTGGGAACCTGACTGAGAAAAAAAGGTTGTGACCTTGTTCCTTTGCCTTCAGAATGCTTGCTGTAGTACATAAATTTGAAGTACAATCTTGATTTAAATACAAAGTGATTTGTTCCAAAATGTCTGTAATAAAAGATCTACTACTTGCTTTGGTTAAAGCAGAGAATGATTCATTCAAAACAATTAATTAGGGCTTGGTAGCCAGTCTTCTACCTCTTATACTCCTATGAAAGATAATGAAGATTTCTACAAAAGTACATCTGCCCGTTGCCACTTAACTGTATCCTTGCCAGTCAGACTCCAGTCCATAATTTGAAAAGGAATTATGCTAATTTACAATTCCTAATTTTTATATGCTTTCACACAGGTGTGAACATTCTCTTTGGAGAATGAATATCTATTTGCTTACCCTGTTGTTGATTTGGTTCTAAGATGCTGTTTGCCTACCTGAAAGATACGGCAGAGGTTCAAGAAAAGGTTTTTTTGGAGTTTGCTGCCAGAGGGGGTTATTGTGACCACCCTCTGGGTGGGTATATCTGCCCACATCTTATTGGAAATCTTTCCACAAGTCTAATTCTCTTTTCCTCTTATTCAGTGTTGCATCATGTAGTGATGGGAAGAAATGATATTCCATAGTTTTACTTGCCACCAGTAAATAAGTGCATTCAGATTTCTCCTTCTTACATACTTTCTGTGAGATAAAGCATTTTTATACAAGAAAGGTATTCAGTAAGCCTACATAAATGGTTTTTAAGATGTACTGAGGGGCTTTCCTAACTAGGGACAGACTCGGACATCTGCCTGAATACTTTCCTGAACAGTGTGTCTGTGCCATAACGCCATACTTTGAATGATAGAAACGTCGTAATACTTAAAATGATAAAAACATGTAGTAACACTAAGCTTGTTCAAAATTAAACAAAAACTGCATTGATAGACAATACAAAACATGGTGAATTTTGCCAATGCTGAGGTCATCAGTATTCATGCTTTTTTTCTTTGATAATGAAGACTCAGTAATGCTTGTCAAATTATTTTTGAAAAGGAGTTGGATATTTTTTCATTGTTTTTTCCCTAGTTTTCTGCAGGCCATAAATTAGGAGAAACAGAAATAACACCGGTGCCACAATGGCTACATGAAAGACAGCTGTATTATAGGTTACTCAATTTGAATTTATTTTCCAATTTCAGGTAAGGAAATGAAAAAAAATTAATTGAAGTTAACCAATTACAGTAATAATTTTCAATATCTTTGTATGATAAAATGCCAACTTAATACTGTGTTAATTTCTGCATAGGCATTTTCAAGCATTACAAAATCTAAAGGCTACTCAAAATATTTTTGGTCCTTATGTCTAAATCATTAACAGAACCAAACATCCTCTTTTCTCTTTTGTTTCTCTTCTGTCTTTTGTTTCTTCTTGTTTATTTATTTAACCTTAAAAGAAGTAAGAATACTTCTAGTAGTATCTTCCTAGGCACTGAATTTTAGGAGGCAAGTTAATTCTTCCATTTGTTCTCTTCCACATTGTATAGAAACTATGAAATAGCTAATACCGTTCACCTTATATGGAATGCATTCAAGCAAATTATGTAATGTAAAATAGAAAATATGTAGTGGCTGGCTGTTTTGAAAACATCAGCAAAAACATGGTAGCTGAATTTTAACCTCTTGCTTAGACTAATATTAAACATCCACCTCCTACACATTTGTCTCAATATTTTACTTTTATTACTTTTTAGTGGGAGATACTTGTTTCTGATTTATTTTTTACTTTCATCTAGAGAATATTCCTGGAAGTGATTCAGTTTTGGTACTTGACCCTGTGTCTCATGTTGCATTTGTGCAAGCTTTTTGTGCATGCAAACAGTCCTCACAATGATGGCATCAGAAATTTCACACATTTTTGAAAATGCATTTTATGTTTGCCAGTGCCACATTCCACATATAAAAATTAACAAAAGTAATCATTGTTTTATTTCATTACATTGCTCCACAAAATTCTGATAATGTTTGTTGTCACTGAATATGTGTGTGTATGTGTCAATCAGAGGATTCAAGATTGCTGTGATGGGAATGTTTAGAAGATAGATAAGCCAATTTTAAACTTTTAAACAAAATTTTACTAAACTGACAATCTTTAACTCTGCACTTTATGTTAATGCTTAGTTCATATCCATTATTAGTTATTATCACTCCATAGTCAGTTAATCCTTCATGATCTCTGTGAGCATGAAGTGCCACAGAGCTGATGTGGTGCCTTTAGCACAGTTCTTGATTGCCTTGGTCACTGAGGTTGAGGAGATAAGACTCAAAACCTGTCTACCAAGGGAAGCTGAAAAGATAACGGACATGTTGCATCTCTTCTCCCTGCCCAACCACACTGGGGATCCTACCCATTTGTAAATGTGTTGTGTTTATATTGTTTCTAGACAATTGGCCTCTGCCTCTGGGCTAGGTGTTGCAAAAGCTTAAAGAGTACTTTCCCAGGCTGCAGCAGGTGCCTTACCCTGTAGCTTGGCTGGGGTTTTTTTTGTGTTTGTTTCTTTCTTGATTTTCCTTAGTTAGCAGCTCGCTCTTTTCTTAAAGCAAAAGTAATGTTTGCCCAGCTTTGGGGGTTGTGTTTCATCACTGCCCAGTAACTGACCATCAGTGAGTTAGGGTTCTGGGACCCTGTTGCCATATTTTCAAGGCCTTTACAGTCATTCCGTGCTTAAGCTACAACCCAACAAGAAATATCTGGTACCAAGGTCCAGTTTACAAAGGAAGTTCTCAGAACAAGTTGGTAACAAGCCTAACCAGCCAGGACTGGGCCTTGGTGCAGTTAATCTAAGGCCCAGTTAGCTTAAAGCTTCTGGTTTATTATTGGCAGAGGCAGTACTGTTTTTACTTGGCACAAAAGTGCTTAGGCAGTTATGGTCTATGAAGTATGCTTATGTTTGGGTTTAAAACAAGCTAATATTAATATTTGCTCAGCATACTTTGTCTTTTGTGGCTACAACAGGCCTCTGCTTTAGCTATACTTTTCATACATCTGTCAAGATAGATGAAGAGGTGTGGAGGCAATGTTTGGGAGCAGGTTTAGAAAGCGGAAATTGGCTAAATAGATCTGCATCTGTTTCCCAACAGCGTTAAGTGCTGTTAATGAGCTGGTGTGACAGCAGGTGTGAAAGTCTGTAAAATTTACATGCATAAATAATTATTTCTGTTGCTTCTAGAATGAAGAAATACTTCCTAGTCTGGAAAATCAATGCTAGAAGAAGCAAGAAGAGCAAGACCGAGTCAGTTTAAATGTAGGTTTTTCATGCAAAAAGAATTAAAGAATGCTTCATCTCCTGCTATACACTTTACCAACTTGTATCTTATTTTCCTTAAATACTTTATAAATCAACAAAGACCATTATACAAATGCCAGATTACCTGTTGATAACAGCATGGAAGACTTACTCTAATAAAATTTTTATGGTACTTTTTTCTTGCTGTGAAGGAGCCTGGAATTTTTATCTGGAGAAACCTGAGCTTTAATTTGATGTTTGTCTAGTGCCAAGCACAGTGGAGTTCTGCTTTATGACTAGGGATTTTTGCTATAAATGGGATGAAAATAATAATTAATACAGTGTTATATTGTAAAATGAAAGTGGTTGCACCAAATCCAGACTGAATATGGACTGAATGAGAAGATGGAATTCGGTCTGTATGTTGAGGTGAGTAAACAAAAACCCATCACACTTCATCTGCTCTCCTTAAGGGCATCCGTTATTAGCATGTAAATAATATTTGTATTATGTAGGTTTGATGATGA